AGGTTATGGTTGATTGATAAATGGGTGAATTATTCATTGATTGATCGATTAATGTTTTTTGCTAAAATAAATAAATAAATAATTCATTTATTTATTCAACAATATTTTAATCGTTTAAATGCAAAATTATTTGATTGTATGAAACACTTGCAAACTCATTAATATTTTCCCTTGAAAATTGTGACCTCAATAGGCATCTTATAGACCAGGGCACCGATTGGTATTCAATTTAGCCTAAAACAAAGATACCTAATTCGAGGTAGGCCTATACGGGTGGTCGAGGGTATTATATGTAAAAATTCCCCTTTAGGCTGATTGGAAACAAATAGAAACATACTTGGAGGGTTGCTCAAGTATTTTGTTCATTTGTTCATTCTCCTTTGAGACCGTTTTAGGGAATTGCCTGCGGTACTAGAGACGGCCGTCATTACGATACTCATCATACGGTGTACTGGTGGATAGGTATTATTAATTCAATGGTATTGATAGGCTACAGTCCAATTGTTTAGAAGAATTTATTTAGGAGAAAAATCACAACGCGATACTTTCGAGGAGGTCTCTTTAAGGTGAACCGCTGGTTTCAAAGTTTCACGTCATTATGTTTAGCGGTTTTGATTGGTTTTTGGTTGCCTGGATGAAGATAGAGATGTCTTCTGAGGGAGGTAACTTCAAACTACGGTATGTATGTTGATTGTGCTCATTTACGTATCACGGTCCAGAAATACAAGTTTCCATGAACATGCTCCGGTACATTTTTACTATTGGTTGTTTCATCAGCTTTTACAAATTTACCACTGGGGGAGATGTGCTAATTGGTGAGTAAAAGTTCATTAATAGAGATAAGTTAAACATTCGTTATGTATATCGTAGAATAAACAGGTTATAAACCTAAACACGCAATGGCGCGCGTTCCAAGTTTCGCGTGGATGCGGGAAAATTGGCATGATCACTGCAAAATGATGATGATCATGATGATAAACATGCAAAATATGAATAAACTAAATAAATCATAATTTTAGGCAACAGTAACAGTATTTTTTTTTTTTGATAATTTCTGTAAAACCATTCCCACAATTTGATTTCCTTCATTTATTTCGCGGAAATGCAAACGCAACACTAACATCGTATGAAGAGGATTGAAATTGGCCACGGTGAATATTCCTTGTATTTTTCCGACATAAACCAACCACTTCCCATCCATAGGACGAGTGTTATGTGTTCAAGTCCAAATTTCATTTTGAAGATTAAGATGGACCTACATTTCACTTGTGTTTCGACAAATCCACATCTTTACTGCAAATTGTGCCTCACATAATGCCATGTTGAATATCACGGTACAATGAAGTAGCAAAACGAGTTGTTTCTTTTTTTTTTTTTAAAGAAGTGCACACCTTCCCCCGAAAAATGAACCCGTCTCGCCCACGCGGAACGTTAGGGCTCACATTTTATAGGCCTGTAAATATCCAGGGTTCAGGTACGATTCAAGCGTGACGTCTAAAAAGTTCCCTTGTGGGAAGTCAGTCTGATATGAAAGGTTCGCATCCGGTTAAGTTACTATTGGCATTCCATAAAAATATACTTGACGAATTATTTAAGATCTATCGGTTATAACATGATAAAATAATCCCCTAGGAAAACCACCATGTTTAAATTATTATATGCAACATATTTTTTATTAGCTCCATGATGGGACTGCTTCTCTTATGGTTACATTTTGTCTAGTAATCATTTTGATAGATTGAATTACAGATTTTCCCATTTTTTTGAACTTCCAATCATGTCGTTCAGTAATGTTTTCCGTCTAGCCTTAACAGGTGTACAAAATTCCCCTATCCGTCGCTAACCTTATTGAAGACCTACTTGTCTGACGAGGCGTAAATCCATTTAGGCCAGAAAAATTCTAAAAAGGGGTCTTTGGTACACAACTTCACCGGCTGTTACGGAACATGGGATGTCGGAGAAAATCGCGACGGTAGATTCTCCTTGGCGAGTTCGACAGGGCAATAGTCGACTGACTGACTGACTGACTGGCTGGCTGGCTGGCTGGCTGATCGCTAATCCAACCGACTCTCCGGCCAATTGATCGACCAGTTGGTTTATTGATTGGGTAACTAATTTATTATATCATCTACATTGATAAAGTGCACTTTTCTCATGATTACAACATTAAAATTATATTTTTTTGAATTTAATTTAAATGCGGTATAAAAGCAGTAAAGTAACGAGTCGACCTGGTTTACTGGGCACTGGCGCTGGCTACGGAACTCGACCTACATTCATTGAACCATTGCCATCACTTGGCCTAATGGGTTACAACATTAGATGTGATGTAGGAACGGCGAGATTGATGTTGGCTCGTGGGAAACATAGATGTGATGTGTAGGCCTACATTTGTTAAAAAAAAAAAAAAAAAAAAAAAAGATGTTGAACGTGATGTAAATCCAGAGAAGGAATTTTTATAACTGAAATTAGGACTACTTTAAAAGTGATGTGGATGGATATAGAGGAATATGGAGACGCCGCCACCACGTCACGTCAAAACGACCCCTTTCTCGCCCTCCTTTTTCTCACCCGGCCCACCTTCTCCCCACCCATTGTTTCGAATGCTATATTATTTCTAATACATTCAGAAACGTTATCGGTACGCATTAAACACACTGTGTATCTCTTTGAATTCCTGAATACTCGATAACAGCTAGGCCAGAGTGTACGGGCGCACCTTTCCTCCTAAATTCCAAAAGGTCCACATTTTTTAACCTATTATTTCACAAAAATGTTGCTAATTATTGCTAAATGCTATAGTATGCATTGCATTTTATATTTGCCAGCTCTTTGATTTTTAACTGTGGTATGCAATGTAAAGGACATAAAACGGTACCGTACTGTAGTTCTCCAGGTCTCCAAAAAAACACGTTAATGAAAATTAAAATAGAATATTCACGAATGGGTTTAAGAAATCAAATAAATAAGGCCCTCAAGATGCTACTTTGTCAAAGCCTCCGGGGATTTTCTCCAAACCCCCCTCTCCAGGCCCCTGCCCCTGAACCTTCAAATTTCAAAAATTACACTTTTTAAAATCTATTGTTTCACTAAAATCTTTCCTAAATATCGTGAAATGCTATAATATACATTGCATTTTTGCCAGCTCTTAATTCTAACCGCTGATTTTTTGTTTGTAAAATAACAATGGTACGAAATGTATCAGCTACATTGATTGCAGATTGATCCATTACGAACGATTTTATCTGTAGGCCTACAGATGTAAAGGACATAACAATGTTATTTCGTCAGGTACTTACAACGCCCAAGATTGAAAATTTAAATAGAATATTCAAAATTATGGGTTTCAGAAATCCTGTTAGGCCTAAGGCTCTCAAAATGCAACTTAGTTAGAGCGTCTGGTGTTCCGCCCCAAAACCTTACACTCGAACTCCAAGTTCCATTTTTTTTATAATCTATTCCTAAATGCTATAGTTACTTGTTATAGTATCGGTATAATGCATTGCATATTATTAGCCAGCTCTTCAAGCCGTTGATTTTTAATAACTGCGGTACGAAAGATTTTGGAAATTATCAACTCCAGTGATCAGGGGGCGGATTTAGGAGGGGGCGGCCCGCCCCCTCCCCTTTTCGGAGGTAAAAAAAAAAAAAGAGAAGAAAAAAAGAGAGAAAAAGAAAAAAATGATAGCCCAGAATGCCTCAAATGTTATTTTCGGGCGTCTAGAACACAAACATTTCGCGGGGGCATGCGGACCCCCTACGACAGTTTTGTCTCAATCGGCCCAACTTTCGGCCCCCCTTCCTGCTTCCCCTTTTGGACATTTCTGGATCCGCCCCTGGTGATTGTAGGCCGAGATGTAAAGAAAGGACATAAACAGTTACAGTTTGAGATCCCTAACAATACTCAAATGAATAAAAGTTAAAATAAAAATAGAAATTCATTTATAAAGCACTCAAAATGCTAATGTTTCGGAGCTTCCGGATGCTTCCCCTCACCCCCGTGTGGTACTAGGTTCTCCCAGCCTAAGGTCCGCTTCGCTGGCAAAACGCACATCTCCATCGAAAATGCTGCCTACGGGCCTGGATGATAACAGTAAAACAATATGAACTATGCACGACCTGCTTATTATATAAAGATAATCACATCTGCCATCCTAGCTTAAATTTACTACGAAGAGGTAGCCGTGGGAGGGACCCTGACACCAAAGTTCCGTCATTTACTGTATTCCTGAGAAAAAAGGGGAATTTATTTAGATTTGTATTCTCATTGCAACTGGGTTCAACGTCCGGTCAGAGAGCTAATGACATTTCACACCTTGTGTACAATACTATCGTGTGCTTGCAAATAATGATGAATGATATGCACCGTTGATATTCTATTCTATTCTAAGGTTGGATAATACTTTCACAGAAATATAATACTACGCCGACATGTGAGTGAATTATTATACTTCCCAGAAGACTTCAGCAAATTAATTTTGTACGCGTTCGTTATAGTTCTGTCCGTTCCCAAAAATATTCAACCTCGATCAACCAACTTAATTATAGGTTTCGTCTGTTTCACTCTGTCTTAATAACTTTTTTATCAAGAAAAATACAAGGAAGTAATGGTGTTGATATTTTCCAGAAGGTTTTCTAAGTAAATTTGTCATGTTGGATCTATGTTGAAGAAAATGTTTATCTTTGTAGTACAGTAGTAGAAATAATTGTGTAAAAAGCCGACATGACACTATCGGTTATTTATCTTGCGGTTTTTGTGTTAATGGTTACTTCGTACAACTCATACTAGTAGGCCAGCTTGACGAATAGCTACGCCATTGTCAATAATCGAGCCAATTTTTCACTGTGTGTGGATGGGGGGTCATAAGAAACAAGCTCGTAAGTGCGTCATCACGCCAATTGACTGCCATGCTTCCCGGAACTTTTGGTTAATTGTGAAATAATTAATCGAAGGTGTTAAAAACTTGCGATAGAACTTGGAAACCAAAAATGCTCCAAATGTTTCGCGATAAGGGAGTGATGGCGTCTGCAAAATCGTAATATGACATGGCTTAGCTCCGTCGGTTAAACTGTTAACTATATGTTGTGTTTTATTGTTCGATTCGATATCTGCTCTCCGTGTGTTTTAGCTGGATGTCTAAAATGTAAGTTCCAATAGCGCACAATTTTCCGGACAAATGTTTGATGGCCGATGCGGGACGTTAAAAACTAATGCTTGGAAAAGGGCAGTGGACCCCGGTGAACTTCCGTGCCTAGATCTACCACCCGAGTGGCCCAAAGATAATACTTACATATGCAATGGTGTGTATCAACAAATCCTATTCTAACTCAAAATCTGAGCCTCTTAAATGCACACATTCTTAACCAGAATTAAGTATTCTTTTACCTTTTCACCTCTTAATTTTTTTTAACTACTATGGTGTTTCGTGTCGTCTCCGGACTCATTTTGGGCTGTACTTTCTCTTTTATGGAGACAGAGTCGCTGTCTTTGCAGTGCATGGTCGGACCCAAGGGCTTATCCCAAGGTTGAAGATACCGGTGCCCAGCATACTGCCTAACGTGTACACCTGGGTGCACATGGGCGTGACAGCGACGCTCTTTCGATATCAGATGGTGGAGTCCCATCCTGGTCAAATTCAGTTTTTCTGTGGCATTTGCCACTATTGCTATTAGTATTTTAATTTTATTGAAGTTATTTTTATTTATTTTGTTTATATCGGCCGAGCGGTAAGGCAGGGCGCCACAAGCTAGCTAGCTACAGCTTAACGTCGGCGCTGTTTCTGGCCGCTCCTCGCCCATGGTTCGGTTAGTAACACCAAGTCTCCCCGGATAAGGACTTACAATGGAGGTCTAGCAGGGGCGGATACAGTATTTTACAAACGGGGGTTGGGGGGAGTACAACAGTTTCAGAATAGGTAAGTGAGTAGCCCATAACATTGATTTGCATTGAAATTTTTAAAAGTTAGTAGCAAAACGGGTTAGGGGATCGCCTCCCACCCGTTCCCACCTACTGGATCCGGCTCTGTCCAGTGTATACATCTGGCTCGTGTGCACTTTAAAGAACCCATTGCATCTTTCGGAAGTGTAGGGGGTTACCCCAATGTTATGGGTAATTTCAGACCCTGTCGTTGTGGAATAATGTGAACACGTAGCTACCATGTAGCGCCTCTTTACAGCTGCTAGGTAGTCACGGACCACGCCCATACGCAATTCAGCACAATGAGTTCAGCAGGTTATGGGTTATTCTCCTACTTTTACCTTTATTTATCTAGGCCGATAGCTCAGACATGTCAATGTGCCATTAGAGTTTTTGACGGATACCGGCGTATTATAATATCCGTTTATTATTATTATATATATTATTATTATAATTATAATTATTATTATTATTATTTTATTATTGTTTTATAATAATAATAATAATAATAATAATAATAATAATAATAATAATAATAATAATAATAATAATAATAATAATAATAATAATAATAATAATAATAATACTGTAATAATTATAGACTAGATGCCAAAGATTTTCTAATCAGGTCTGTGTTTGCACAAAAACATACATAAGACTAAAAGCCGCCCAGACCTTGGGGGTTTCTGTGGCTCGGCTGAACCCCCTTTTGAGCAATTCCTCACGGCCCTCCCTCTGATAAACCAATTTTGATATGAGGAAAGTATTAAGCCTACTTCCTGATATAGGCCTGTTTTCTGAAAACAAATGAATGGGTTTTTGTGTCTTTGCCCCATCTTTTCCCCATCTGGAGCAAACTTCACGTGTGAATCGGGTATAGAAGTTAAATTTAACAAAAAGTAACAAATTGTAACCGAGCGATCTCCCGAGTTATTCCTACCGAGATAAAAAACATTCACACGCGTCTGTAAGGTAATGCCAGGTCGTGTAAAATTTATTTAGTGTTTATTCAATGAATCATTTTTCCCCTACTGCGATATAGGTCTAGCCTAGGCCTAGTTGAGAACCCCTGTCACAGATGGACTGTTGAACTCACCATCACAGTAAACATTCGAAGCAATCAATGCCCTTAACAACTGCTGTACTACTACTACTACTAAACTAGGCATAGCTTCCAACGTTTCTGTCGACTCTTGATAATACTAGTAATAGTACTGACAACATCCCGACGTTCATTTTATGTATATCTTCTTCTACCATTACTAATTAACATCAATAACAAGGGTAATTCATTCATCATTGAGAAAAACTAGGCCTATCTATTTCTAGTGGATCAGAATCGTCTGCAGAAGGAAGAAAATTCAAAGAACCCCGTGAAACAGTAGATTGTTGTTGTGTTGAAATCCCTGCGCATGCACAGATCCATCCATGCTACATCTCGGAAGCTTTACCAGCCTCAGCGAGGCTGGTAAAGATTACCGAGACGTTCCGAGATTTTACAAAGATATTACACGGAGGTACTTTCACACGTGCCGTAAAATGTTACTTTTGGTTACATTTTGTTACATTTGGTAAGATTTGTGTACGTGTGAATCGGTTAAAATGATGGCAGTTAAAGATGGTTGAAAGTGTAAATCCGGTGGAGGTACATGATGGGTTATGTATCATCTGAAGTAACGTATTACTGTACAAGTCATAAAAAAATACAACACCACACATTACCTGATAACCGAATCCCATGTGGATACTTCATTAGTAAACATAATACAGTAAGGTAGTAAAAGGCATAGGCACATGCTCCCCTATTTTTGCATAAGGCCATTGTAAAAAAAATTGTGTTATTTTAGCCAATTTCTGTCTGAACAGCTTTTCGAAAACTGACCAACTTCGTAATTTAAAAAAAAATCCTATTTAAGCATCATTTCCTCTCTCAGAGTTGTAGCACTAGAGTCAACGGAGGTTTAGCAGGGGTGGCGCCAACATTTGCCCCCGGGGGAGGGGCGATACCCCGAGGAGGGGCAGATTTTCCCGACGAGAGCAAAGTGGGCTTAAAATGTTTGGAAACTGGTCCAGCGGGCGAAGGCTCCAAAAAATTTAACAATTTCGGGGTTTCAGACGCTTATTTAATCGATTTTAGAGTTTACAAATAATGTCCAGCATACATATAATTTTTTTTTCTCCCCGAGAATTGTGTTTTTTTTTCTCCCCGACGGAGAGAGGAGGAGCTGGCACCCCCCCCCCCCCCCCCCCCCCCCCCCCCCGACATAATGAAGCTGGACATACACAAGACTTGTCTGTGTGCTCAATGCGCCTATGGTATATTTATTTTACTTTACTTACGAATAATATGTTTTGGTATTGGCGAAAAGTATCACATGAGGTGTGTGACTGACATTTTGTCCTGAAATTATAAGCAAGACCAAGGGCAGATTTCCGTGGCACACTTTAACTGTAACTATCTAAATAACTGTGGAATAAATTTAATAAATTTTTCTAATTTTATAAAATTAACATATGTCTAATGACATTTTATATCGATAATATAAAATGTCATTAGACATATGTTAACTTTAACTAAACAACCATGAAGTAAAATAATCAATAATTATATATGTTCAATGACATTTTATATCGATAATATAAAATGTCATTAGACATATATAAAGTTAACATATGTCTAATGACATTTTATATTATCGATAATTTTGATAAATCAACAAAAAGTATTGATCAAAAATAATTTTTCAAAAGTCAATTTTGATTAACAACTGATCCTAATTCTTCAGGTGGATTATTTGGCGAAGACTCTGGTGATGATGATCCCGATTATGTCGACATTATGAACCTTGCCATCGTTCACAGTAATCCTGATCTATTGTCGCTGAGCCACGCAACGAAGGAATATACTCACTTCTGGCAAGCCAACAATTACGGTAAAAAAAATTACATCTGGCCGTTATCATTTTTTAATGGTCACTAAAATGACATTTCCAGTGCTATTCATTATATGTAAGCCAACTCTGCCTAGTGTAATAATAATATCAGCACCTTACCTTACCTTTCGGCCGCAGCCGAGATGGTGCTAACAGCAGTTTACCAGAATTGTCTGCCACTCATTGCACTATCTGAGGTCTTCGAGGCCGAGTCCTGTGTCTCTGGCATTGATTTCGGGGAAAGTGAATGGTACTCTAGAGCCCACAAATACACATCTAGATGTGTATGAGAGACAGATATTACACGGAGGTACTTTCACACGTGCCGTAAAATGTTACTTTTGGTTACATTTTGTTACATTTGGTAAGATTTTTGTACGTGT